AGATCGAACATTTTGCATGCGCTTCTTCTGCTTTCCATGGTGCTTAACAAACAGACGCTTATCAATTTTTGCATCGTTGTGGCTGGCCAAGTATGCGGCGATCAGCAAAAACTTGGTGTAGTGTGGTAACTCCAATTTTTGTACTTCGGCTTTGGTCGACGACATCACAACGCCGTTATGATCAAGGTCCTTGGTCTGAAGAGAGAGAGAGAGAGAGAGAGAGAAATGTTTGGTAATTATTCATTTTGAATAGAAAAATCGATTCTCGGGAATGCTTTCAATTCGAAAAATCTCGTGTTCTCAATGCCAAAAACTACTTACACTGTTTATGGTGTTCTTCTGTTCAACACGGCAATAGATTGAGTTCATCGCCATTTTGAATGGTAATTTCATGTGTTCCCATAATTTGCGCAGCTCATTTTCCTGAGTATCACCGTCAATGACTGGTTTACAGTAGATCGGGAAGTTGGCGTTGCTCAGGTACACAAGCTCTTTGGCATTTCGGCAAATGGCGAAAAATGTGTCAAGGAATATGTTGAAGTAACCAATAAAGAAACGTTCGTCGAGTTCGGATAGAATTACCAAGCGTTTCGTTCGCAGCTCCTCATCTGAGTCACCCTCGTTGATGATTTCGGCCATGCTTCTTCGCAGATGATTGATTTGTTTCATCAAAATTTTCAATAAATCAGTTTTCCCATACTGGTCACATTGAATGGTTATTGTAGGCACCAAACCCTGTTTACCCACGTAGTTCAACAGTGTTTGCGATCCGATCAGAATACAGGAAATATTTATCGTTGGCACAAATTGATTGAGTCGCATCATGATCGGCAAAATGTTGGCCTCGATGTCGTGTAATCGGTCGAAATTCTTCAAAACCACCACATATGATTTATTCGAATCGATTCCATTCAATGTGTCCACGAAGTCTTCAGCACTGTCACAATTGGCGTAGTTTTCAAAATTGTTGTTCGGGCTCAATTTATGGCCACTGAGACTGTTGACGATGGCTTCAAAGTACATTTTCGATGTGTAACACTCGATGCAATCGATATAAGCGTATACAATGTCCATGTGATCGAGAAATCTTAGCAAAGTGGCCGTTTTCCCCGTTCCAGACGCACCGCTAATAAACACCGACGATGGAAATGAATGCGACTGATGACCATACAACTGAAACAATTCTTTCAAATAAGATTCACGCCCCGGAAACTCCTCCAGTATTTGCTCCATTTTCCACTGATTTTTATTTTATTTTTGCACCAAAAACGTAGATTCGAATTTGGTTGGTATTTGAAATAAGAATTTGTTGTTTACTTATTAAAGCTTGACAGGAATTTCTCACTGCTACTTGTCAGCTGTTCGCGCCAAAAATGCACGAACCAAGAATGAATCGTACGTTCAACAGCTGCGCGTAATGACAGTCAGAGAAACGGAATTTTATTACTTTTTTTATACTTTTGAAATTTTATACTCGCTTTTTCTCTTTGGAAATATTCGAAAAACTCTTTAATGATGCTCAACATATATTTTTTTCCATTATTTTCCACTCAACAATTGGCATACACACAAACGTGGGAACATACCCACATGAATCGTTTGTTGTGTTTGTGAAACATTTACTTTGTTTTGCTTTCTCTGCTCTGCAATGACACATAACCTACAATTCGATTAGTACATAATCATGCTATTGAAAGTAGTGAACGTTTTTGCTTTGGTAATTTTTCTAATATCATTAGAAAATGCCTACGGTTGGAAGTTATTTTCGAAAGGACACCGGAGCGGTGGCAATTTGATTCCACCACATAAAAATGTATCACGTGAACAGCTTCCACCAGATCAGTGGTTTGACCAGAAACTCGATCATTTTTCCGATAACAACAATGAACTTTGGAAACAGGTATTACGCATCAGTTTTATAAATGTAAATTGCATCAGTTCGAATTGATAGATTCAATTTCGTTTTTTTTAAACAACCATTGATTTTAGAATTTTTTCTTCTTAATAAAATCGAAATTTTTTATTGATAATTCATTTGTTTCAGCGTTATTTTGTGAATGATACGTTTTATAAAAGGGGTGGACCAGTGTTTTTGATGATCGGCGGCGAAGGTGAGGCATCACCGATTTGGATGGTTCAAGGCGCCTGGATTCATTATGCCCGTGAATTGAATGCTCTCTGCTTTCAAGTGGAACATCGATTCTATGGAAAGAGTCGTCCAACTAAGTAAATATCGCTTCATCAATGTATTTTTTTTAGATCCAAATCATGACAAAACATTATCATTCGGCTCGTCTATTTTGAAATTACTAACATTTATTATTCACATTTTCAGAGATTTATCGGTTGAAAGCCTAAAGTATCTCTCGTCCGAACAAGCTCTTGCCGATTTGGCCAATTTTATTGAAGCCATCAATGCTAAATACAAGTTGGATGCGGATGTAAAATGGATTGCATTCGGCGGTTCGTATCCTGGATCACTTGCGGCTTGGGTTCGTGAAAAATATCCAAATCTCATTTACGGATCGGTGAGCACAAGCGGTCCATTGTTGGCTAAAGCTGACTTTTATGGTAATTTTGCACTTGAATAAAGTATTCTGAACTTTCATCGATTTTTTACCAACCGATTTGCTTATCAAAAATTGCGTTATCATTTTTGTTTTTGCACCAGAATACTACAATGTCGTAAATGCATCACTGGCAACGTATTCAGAGGAGTGTGTGACTGCCGTTCAAAAGTCCATTGAACAAGTTGAGATTTTGTTGCGTCATATGATCGGACAAAGAAGTCTAAACGTTAAATTCAAGTATGATCTTTGTACTTTGTTTCTACATTGGTTAATATCAAAATAACTCATAATCCTTCTCCTCTCCATAGGCTCTGTGATCCAATTGAAAAATCTATTGAAAATATAATGGATATTTCGAATTTCTTTGAGAGTCTTGCTAGCAATTTTGCCGGCGTCGTGCAGTACAACAAAGATAACAGCCCACATGCATCACTCACCATTGATGATGTTTGTAATGTAATGGTGAATACCTCGATTGGTGCACAAATCGACCGTTTGGCAGAAGTGAATACATTGCTTCTCAAACAAGGCAACCAAACATGCCTCGATTACAAATATGACAAAATGGTCAAGCTGATGCAAAACACATCTTGGGACTCAGATGAAGCCAATGGAGGTGAGCATTTAAAAATATCCCATATAAAACTTTAAAGATACTAGCAAGAGAAAAGAAATAACACATTCTCATTTCCCGAACTCATTGCCCACAGAAATCCAATGGACCTATCAAACATGCAACGAATTCGGTTTCTACCAAACATCAGATGATAAGCAACGAATTTTCGGCGATCGTTTCCCATTGGTGTTCTTTGTGAAACAATGCACGGATTTCTACGGCCGAGATTTTGATGCTGATTATCTGTTCAATTCGATCAATAAAACAAACAAATTCTATTTCGGTTTAAAACCGAACACAACGAATGTTCTCTACGTCCATGGATCAATTGATCCATGGCACGCGTTGGGATTGATTGAATCAGATGATCCAAAATTGCCAACCATTTACATCGAAGGAACAGCCCACTGTGCCAATATGTACGAGCCAAAAGACAGCGATTTTCCTCAACTCAAGCAAGCTCGCGAGAAGATTCGCGAATTCCTACGCGTTTTGATCAGCGACGATAGCACCAATGACATTTAATCACATGCCACAGCCGTGGAAAGTGAAAATTTACCATATCATCGAGTCTCTCTGTAAAAAAAAACCATACCGAAATCCTTGTGATGCCAAATAATGTCTCTTTATTCAGAAATCGAAACGAAAAGACTCATCTATGCCTTTTTTTAAGTTATGAATAAAATGTTTTATTAGAAATCAATTTTTCCGGCTGTTGTTTGTTTTCGAAGATCTGGTGCATTTGTGACTTTTCGGTGTATGTCTATCAGCTGCAATTGGTGGACATTCAAAGATTTGCAGATCCTTTTTCGATCGATTTGATTCGACATGTTTGATATCTTCTTTACTACGCAACCAACCTGAGTTATTACAAGGCTTTAAATTTCACTTAAAAAAAACATTTTTATATATATTTTTTTTAATGTTGAATTTATGTGAAGAGAAAAATAAGGAAACTAAACAAGCAAATAAAAATTTACACAACAAAAACAAAATTATTGAGAAGAAAACAAATTAGAACTCAATGAATGCGTTTCATTAGTTTATTTTGAGCAGCTTTCGATATGCAACTAAATTCATTGAAATACTAACGTTATCTCCAAAATGATGCACGTTAGGACGCTGAATGATGGGTCGCCGGATGTTGACACAATCTCACGATCAGAACAATTGAATTGTAAAGATGCAAATGGCGAGATACGCTCTTTCAGAGCGGTTATGAGATGTTTTGTTGCGTAGCATCGATACTCCGAATTCGAATTCGGCCCTCATTTCCGCCAAAAACAAGTGAAGAATTATTCATTTGAATCAAACATTTGGACATAAGCAATTGTGTTTCTTTTTAAATTTTCATGATGTTCAATCCATCAAAAGAGAACACAACGGCCACAACCGGCATTTTTGGCACCACAATGTACGAAAGTTCCTGTGTTTTCATCCAAATTCATACCGATTCATAGCTTGCCGTTGCAAGAAGAGACGAGAAATTCCTAAATATATTTGAATTTTTCCAAATTTACCAAAGGAAATCTAAACATTTATTCAACTGAAGACTCATTCTAACTTCGGAGAGGCGGATAATAAACGATGCAGCTGTCGCATGTTCGAGAGTGAACACAAGACATGTGTGTGATGCATATACATTTTAAAAGCAGCTGCTTCATTTCCCCTCATACATACATTGAATGTTCAATTCACTCATCGAACGAGCAATGAGCATGTGGTAAACTCAGTCGTCGTTTCGCTTCCGACGCTAAAACAACATTCATAGTTCAGCAGCGATGGCTCTTTTGCTCAAATCGATTTTATTTCTCCAAAGTTGTAGTTGTTCCAGAAAATTTACACATATTTTTCTCAACTCAAACGTAAGTTAAAGTCAATCTAGTTCCAGTTTTGAATAAAGTGTGTGTGTTTTTAAGACCCAAGAATGTATGGAATGAGACTTCAGGCGAAAATTGAATATAAACCATATATAAGCGTCTATCGTTCTTCCTCGTTTCAATATAAAAAGGATTTCGGCAAAAAATTTGGACTGATTGCCTATGCATTTCCATATTTCATTTATTTTGTCTTGAATTTTCAAATTTCCATTCGAAATATGATTGATTTAGTGATTTTTCTACAATTTTTTACGTTCACTAATGTGGCGTCATTCCGAGTTTTGAGTGTGTAGAGTGTATGTGTGTGTATATATGTGCATATGTGAAACGAGCAAAGGGGAAACGTATACGCAAGCGTATGTGCGCGTTTTCGCTACATATGTGAACGGAATGTGTATATGATACGTAAGAAAATTTTCAGGGCTGCGTAATTCTTTCAATTTTCTACTTTTCATTCATTTGTTTGAAAACCTTTCTATAAAAGACTATAAAAGACGCAAAACTTTGATTCTCGTCTTTGATTCTGCAGAAAATATCAATAAAAAAAATCTAAAAAAAAATTTAATATTTTTTTTCCATACAGAATGTTCCAAAATCAATAGCAAGGGAATAAAAGTTGGGGAAAAAAAATTTGGTCCCATACGGATTCGAACTTTGGTTGAAAAAATACATCGGAACAGAGCAAAAAAGGGCGCAAATGCATATAAGGTACTATAAGGCACTATGCATTTTGATGGTTGGGGGTTACCCTTTCCCCCCAGCAGATGCTGATTGAATCACCGGGCAAAGTCATTGAATCAACATCTGGTTGGCACTGAGTCCCGGTCAGACTTAAGGTCACTTTGAGCTCAACGGCTAACCCGCCGCCGTTATCTGTACATTGATGGTAATGATTGCCAACGCTCTACCATCTAATCTAAGCTGTGCTGACCGATGATAAAAGTGCGCTTGGTATGCAACATATGTTTTGACAGGTTTTCGAGCATTTGCACGGTTTAAATCAGTTGCATTTGCGTATTGACACCAAATAAAATGATGTTTGCATCGAATCATATCCAAAATGTGTTTTATTTCCTCATTATTTTATGAAAAGCAATTTAAATTGGAAAAATATTTATTATTTTCAGCAATTTTCCTTCTACTTCTCCAAAAGAAACAAACGTTTGTTCACCCGATGACCGAAAAGCTTAGCCAAAGTTGGCGTTTCAGTAGTGTCAAAGCTGAAAAATAAATACATTGATTTAAATATGCCTATTTTTGGTATGGAAATTTTTTCTTCAATTTTTGAAAATAAAAGCAATTCAAAACGAAGAAGAAAACAATTTTCGTTTCAAAAATTATTCATTTAAAATTGCAAATGCATAGAGAACTGTAACCAATAAAGTTGAGGACTTTAAAGCAATGCGATAGATGACGCCACTGGTACGGGCGCCAAATATTGTAGTAATCAAAGAGAAAGACTCATTTTTCAACTTTTTTTTTGCATTTTTAATGCACCAAAATAAATGTTTAATTAACTCAATGCTGGTTGTGTGTA